CTGAATGACCCAGAGAGTGACATCATACCTCATCACTGACTGCAAGGTGAAGTTTCCTTTGGTCCTTTTGGAACTTGGGAGTTCATAAAACATTCAGCTGAGAGTGGTACCAGTCAGAAGGATAGGACCAGAAGCTTATATGAGAAGACTGATCTTGAAGATTGCCACAGCTGATGCAAGTAGCTGATGGTAGTAAAATGTGAAGAAGGATTCAGAAAAAAAAGGAAGAAGGTCCAGGACAGGATTTGGGAGTGTTGGTAGTAGACCTCAATGGGGAGAAGAAGAGTTGATGGAAGAGAATTTAAGGAGCTGGAGAGATGGCTCAGTCAGTAGAGTACTTGCTATGCAAGCATGAGGACCTGAGTTTGGATCCCCAGTACCTATATACGTAAAAGCCAGTACACATCTGTATCCCTGGGGCTGGAGGGAACAAGAGGCAGGTAGTCTAGCTAAAATGCTGGCCAGCAGTCTAGCTAAAACACTAAGCTCCAGGTTCAGTGAGAGACCCTGTCTCAAAAAATAAGGTGGAGAGTGATATAGGAAGATACTTGATGTTAATCTCTGACTCTAGGTGCACAGACATGATTGAGCATACATGCACAGGTGAGTGCACATGTGCACACACACACACACTTGGAGAATTTGGTGTATGGAATGCAAGGCAGCAAGAGCTCTGGAACAGAAAGGGAGCTCATGAGCTGCTGCTAAAGGAAAAGGACCATGAGCATTGAGGGGAGAGACCCTTGGTCACCATCTTAAATTCCTTCTGCTTTTTTTTGGTTTTTCACTTTAGTGGACTGCATCTTAGGTTTCTGTAAATTAGTGAGTTACTTTTTTTTTTTCTTTTTGAGACAGGGTCTCCCTTTAGCTGGCCTGAAACTCGCTATATAGATCAGGGTGACCTCCATCTTACAGAGATCCATCTGTCTCTGCCTCCCAAATGCTGGGATTAAAGGTGTATACCACTACATCCAACCTTATAGTCTTTTAAAAATTTTTATGTTTTGAGAATTTCTTACGTGAGCACTATATCTATACCTGTCCTCATCCTCCGACTCCTCCCTCATCACCTCCATTCCCTCTCAACTTTGTGACCTCTTTCATTATTGTGGATATATATGTTCCATTTAGTGTACTTGCATGTACATGTGTTTATGGCAGACTACTTGGGATTGGATAACCCATCAGGGGGCTCATCCCTAGAGCCCATCCTCAGAGGACCTTGATATTCTCTCTCTCAGTAGCCACTGATCACTTGCAGTTCTTTATCTAGAGGTGTGACCTTATAAAATTTCTCTCATCCACATGGACATGTCATCTGGTGTTGTCATTATACAATTTTTGTTTAGGCAACCATATTATGGAGACTGCATGGGTGCAGCTCCCCTGACATGTCTAGAATACACTATAGCAGCAGGCATCCTGGTCCTCTGGCTCTAACAACTTTCTGTCCCCTCTTCCCTGAGGCTTAGGTGTAGTGGTTGCATTGTAGATGGTTCAGTTTTGGCTAGGTACCTCATGATCATTTATTCTGTGTTTTTTGACTATCTGTGGAATTTGTAACAGTCTCCATCTGCTGCAAAAAGAAACTTCTTTCATAAGTGGTGAGAGCTACATTTATCTGTGAATGTAAGGGTATTTAGAATATAGTAATAAATTAAATTAGTTTAGGAAAGTGTCTGTAGTAGGTTCTCCTCTAGGGTCTATGACCTCTCCAGCCATGGTTTTTTTGCTAAGTTTACAGTACCAGGCATGGATTCCTTTCCTTTAAATAGGCCTTAAGTTCAATTAGACAGCTGTTGGTTACCCCCAAGATAAAAGTGTCACTATTGAACCAGTAAAGACTGTCGTTTTGGTTTATAGGCTTTACAACTGGGTACATTGATTGCTTTTCTCCCTTGGTAATTTGCATGGCAACTTCTGATACTATAAGAGCTAGTCTTTGGGAAGCAGGCTTCCAGGTTAATTCTAGCTTAATTCTCCAAGTCCTGTGTCCAAAGTGTGAGATGTCTTCAGCAACAGAGTCTTACCTTCAAGTTCTATGAAGCAACCAAGGGCTATCTATAGCAATAGCCTCTATTGTTTGGGGGAGTCTGTTGGACTACCCTGACCAGCAAATCAGAGGAAGCTTTCCCTTTGCTGGCCCTGGGATTTTTGTTAGATAGCCTTCAGTTATACACATACAAATATGTGTGTGTATGTATATTATTATGTGTATTTTTAAGTAGCCTTATGAAATATACATTTCCCTATGACATTTTCAGAGAGTTGCTTGTACTCTTGGTCAAGGTCTATCTATGCTCAGAAAGCCATTCTCAATGTGTAAGATAGATGCCTTCCTCCCTTTTTTTAAAAAAAAAAAATTTAATTAATTAATTAATTTATTTATTTTTGGTCTTTTTGAGATTCCATTTCTACCATGATCTCCTGCTCGCTCTCCTGTTATAGTCACACTCATCCCTTCCCCAGACTCTCACCATGTGTAACCCTGGGCAATCTGTTCTCCATCTCTATAATTTAGTCATTTCAAGAGTGTTCCACAGAATCATACAGTATATGACTTTTTGAGATTCACTTTTTTTTTTCACTTAGTACAATGCCTTTGAGGCTCATCAAAGCTCTGTCTCTGTCTCTGTCTCTGTCTCTCTCTCTCTCTCTCTCTCTCTCTCTCTCTCTCTCTCTCTGTGTGTGTGTGACTGTGGCGCTCAGAAGAGGGCATCAGATTCCCCTGGAACTGTAGTTAAGGATGGTTTATAGCCGCGATGTGGGTGCTGGGAATTGAACTCAGGTCCTCTGCAAGAGCAGTCAGTGCT